TGTCGGACGATTTTTGACGCACCGTTCCAATGCAGAGGGAACGTGATAACGCTTGCTCTCGCAGAGAACAGACAACGCTGTAGCGATTATTTATTACAAATGTAATCGAATGGAACGCAAATAAATCATCCGAGAGGAGAAAGAAAATTGAATCTCGGTAAGAAAATTCCAAGATACAAATTCCAGTTCAAAAATATTATAAGAATTTTATACCTTTATTCATATTTATATTATCATATTAAACGACAGAAATAAATCCTGGAATAATATAAATAATATAAATACCATTTTATAATAAATATAATAATATTTATATTATAACGTAAATATAATACAATTATATGTTTTATATAATAAAATATTCTAACATAAAATATAATATTTTTGCCATTTTAGGACGTTATAACTATTAGTAACATACCGGAAATGCGAAGAATCTTCGCATTTCTGAATTTGTCAAAACATAGATCGGAGAATCTAATTGAAAGTTCCGATCGCCGTTCAATCGACAAGCAATCGATTAAGCATGGTAATCGATCGTGCAACTATTTCGACATGTTTATGCAAGAAAATGCCCCCCGAAGCGATAAACAGTAAAAGAGATGACGAGCTTGTTGAAATTACGTAATACGGTTAATCGGTTCTGTCGCGGATTCATTCGATCGCGAGATGCGAAACCGATTGGCATACAACGATTTCCAAGATTTCGCCAAGAAAATAAGGACCGTGCTTTACGACGATTATTACATATTATTACAGTCTACGGTATTCGTGTAAATATTCATCGAGCATTGTCTCGATCACGAATGTGAGAAGGCACATATCTTTGTGCCGCGATTTTATACATTCGAGACACACTTCCGAACATGAATCGGATTTTTCCTTTTTGGATTCTACCGATTTCGAGGGAAGTCCTCGACTATGATTTCTCTCTGGTCGGAATTTCCTTTTAATTTCAAAAATCATTGGACAATTTTATTGGACACCCTTTGAGTTATGACATCGATTGTCACACCCGCGGGAATTGTAGTTTCGATTTTTTTTTTTTTTTTTT